ACACACACACACACACAGCCAGCTCCCGGGGGTATTTAACCCCCTGACACACACACACACACACAGCCAGCTCCCGGGGGTATTTAACCCCCTGACACACACAGCCAGCTCCCGGGGGTATTTAACCCCCTGACACACAAACACACACAGCCCCCGGGGGAGGGGGGTATTTAACCCCCTCACGGCCCCCTGTTACAGGCTGAGGGGGGTATTTACTCACCAGCAGAGCGTACCGCAGGGGTATTTTCCCGAAGAGTTTGCCCGGGTCTGGGGCGTACACCATGACATGGCATGCGTGTTTGTAACCGACCAGGGACCGCGAGTCCCGCCGAGAGACGGCGCGATAACCCGGCTCCGCCATCACTCCGCCCGGGCATCCGGGGACCCGCCGGCCCTCGAACGCGTGGGGACCCCTGGCAACAAGCCCCGCCCCTAGCAACCACCAGGTGGGGCCCCTGGCAACAAGTCCCGCCCCTAGCACCTGCCGCGTGGTGGCCGTGCCGACAGGCCCCGCCCTCATCCCCCACCGAGAGGAGTCTCTGGCGATTGGCTTCGCCCGCAGCAACACGGGACCACCCCTCGCAACCACCCGGACTGCCACGAGCGACGACGCCCCGCCCCCTGACGGCCCGGCTCGCCCCTGGCAACCAGCGACAGGGGCTTCTGACCCCGTCCCTAGCAACAGGCCCCACCCACTAGCTACCACTGAACCGCCCCCGGCTGCCAGAGGGACCGCCCACTGACACCTGGACCCACCCCTAATAACCACAGTGCCCCCACCCTAACAGGCTTTGCCTTTAGCAACCACCGTGCGGGCCTTAGCAACCAGCCCCGACCGGAGAGACTGGGCGACAAGCGGAACGCCCCCTTGGCAACCGGCCCCACCCCTAGCAACCGCAAAACCGCCCCTGCCTACCCGGACTGCGCCTCTCAGCAACAGTTACCAGCCCTTAGCAACCAGCCGAGAAACAACTCACCCCGCCCCGGCAACCCGTGACACCACCCTTAGCAACTGAGCCACCCCCTCCCGCATAGCAACCACACACCATCGACCCAGCAACTGCACCGCCCTAGTGACAGCTCCTCAGCCCTAGCAACCACACACCATCTACCGAGCAACTGCACCGCCCTAGTGACAGCTCCTCAGCCCTAGCAACCCACCATGAGCAACAGTAACAGCACTACGGGCAACAGCTGATTCGCATCTCCAAGCAACCGTTGTCGCCGGTAGCAACAGTGGCACGCCCCAGCAACCCCGACCCTGGCGACCACTGACAGGCCCTCAGCAACGGACCCCGCTCCAAGCGACCCTGACCGTGTCACCGGCAAAACATTTAGCCAACCCCTGCAACCACTGACA